ATTATGAAGTTGCTAGGAAAAAAACAGAGAAGTCAAAACTGGAACAAAAGCTTAGATTTCCTTGGGGAAAGTATCTCAAATGGGAGCTGTACATGTCAATCTACTAAATAATGGGGCTTTTAAAGTGATTCATTTGTTGGTGTGTGTGTGTGAATTTTAACTGGTGAGACTTGAGTTAAATGTACAATTGTTTTGTAGGTTTTTGGTCCGGTGTGTTACTGCAAGTGGGGATGAATAGGATGGCTGGCTTCTCTTTACAACAATGTGGTTGGATTGGTTTGTGAATTGGCACAAGCTTCCTTGCAAAAAGGCATCCCATACTGAAGTGACGGTGGTGTGAATTTATTTACATCCAGTGTATTTCCACATTAGCTATAGGCTATAAGAGGAACAGAGGGCATAACATATAAATTATCAAATAGCAAAATTCATATTGTACAAATGCATACAATGGTCAGAAAGGAGACCAACTTTTAAAATTTGTTTCATCTAAACATTGGTGATGAATCCACTGGAATTTGAATAACAGCCCTACCCTGATAGGAGTGTGTGTGTGTATTAGTATTTACCATTTTTAGACATTTACTATAATTATTTATAGTCTCACAAGAATGAAAATGATCACAGATGAGCAATGCAGTCCTATGTGATTATTCGGTAGTTAAGTCCGAATGCGTCCAACAGGACATCTGTTTATGATTGCTACTTAAATTTCTGAACATTTTAAAGACACAAATGAGTTTTGATAATTACCTGTATGGGGTGGCTAGTATGTGCTGGTGTGTGAGAGTTTACGGAGACTTTCAGCGATGCAATATTTTTGCAGTTGCGTACTTGCTTAATTACTTACTTGCATTTTTATTATCAGAGGTTACTTTACATTATCAGTGGATTGTTTAATTGTAATGTTAAAGAAGTTTTCATTAGTTTATTCTTGATATGACTGTTTACATTTTGTCATTATCTTTTAACTGTTAGCGGGTTGTATAAAACTTACTGATGTTGTGAGTAACTATGAGCGTAGCTTACTATGGAAAGTGGCATCCAGAAAACAAATGATTGTGTGTGTGTGTGTGTGTGTGTGTAGCAATGGAGAAAAAATATTAAAATATATGCATGCATTTAGGATCGCAGACCAAATTTATGAACATTTGAAGGACTGAGTGGTGTGTGTGTGTGTGTGTGTGTGTGTGTGTGTGTGTGTGTGTAATTCACCAGGGCTGTTAAATGTTCTGTTTGGTATGGTTAGCAATGACTACATTTTAAAATTTGTTTTAGTAAATGTAACAGTGGATGCCCCCCTGCAAACTGGAAAAGAATTTGTATGTAGGTAAAATAATGTAAAATAATGTAACCTGTATACAAAGTACACAAACTCCATTCAAGGAGCAACAGCAACAACCTGAGGTCTCTTCAGATATTGTCAAAGCTTTCCCAATTGGATAAGGTTGCAATGGCAGCGAGGCAGCAGAGGCAGTGGGGGGGGGGGAGAGTTTGGTGCAATGCTATGCAAGGCCGGGCAGGAATAAAAAGATATCAACATGATGGCCTTTTGTTAGATCACAGCACCTCGTTTGACATGACAAGGTAGCCCGCTGAGCCTGCTTCTGCAGACCGACAGCAGAAAATACAAGCAGGAGGAGGAAGAGGGAATGAAGGAGAGGGGGTGGGGGTGAAAAGACACAGTAAATCAATTTGTTCCCCTTTCCTCTGAAAAGTTCTTTAAATGAAAAGGAAAAAAACCCCCAAAAACTGTGCTATTAAACATACTTTTTTAAAGGAAAACCTACCAGCGTCCCAGTACTAGGGTTTATTTCCTGACTTTTACGTCATTAGGAAAAACAAGAAGGTGTTAGACTTTAAAATGCTGTCGTGTTTTCCAGTCCACATACAATCACATTGATCTGGTTTGTAAAAATGGAAGTTCCATAGAGGCTGGGCTCCATTTAGAACAAGTGGTGAGCTTTCTATCTGCTGTAATGAAGAAGAAATCGAAGCCTATGGGACAATGAGAATGTATGCCTATCCCCCGGACCCTATTAAGCTGAGGGAGTTGTACCTCTCATTTTCACCATCTTGAATGTTCATGTATGGGCCTAGCTGTCTTGCACTTGCTTATTCAGAAGTAAGGTAGGGGTGTGTGTGTGTGTGTGTGTGTGTGTGTGTGTATTCTCTTGCAATCTATTGTCTGGAGTAATCAGTAGGAGTCAGTGGGTGCATCGTGGCACGCTTCAGCTAGTTGTTACATGAGCATGATTTTTACAAAAGTGTCTTTTGCAGTTAAGATGGTGTCAAGTAATGGTACAATTTGGGGTTGGTGTGAGCTGTAGTCCCAAACATCTGGAGGGCACCAGGTTGGGGGAGGCAGATGAAGAGATAAGCTTGTCATCACCTCACAGCTATGGCTGTGGGCTTAAATGGTCGATCAATCAACTAAAGCTGTAGTTGATTAAGATGGCCACTCTTAAGCAGCAAAGACAAATTTCCATCAAAACCAAAGGCACTTGCTTCTGTGTATGGTGTGCTTAGAACTGGTGTATGATGCTGATGTTCTGCACTCCTTACACAGAAATAGGTTCTGCAGAAACCAGTAGGATTCATGACCTAGTTTTATAATCACTGTATAAGAGCTGGAGGTAGAGTTCCAGCTTTCATGTAATCTACCTTTTAACAGTGTTCCTTAATTAGGCCAAAGTATGCATTTGCATCACACCTTAACTTAGAGCATTTTCCGTTGAAATTGACAAGCTGAAATTCTACGTTCATCTGCTTAAGATCAGGCAGGATCTGTAATTACCTTGAATCCCACATGGAAAAAGCTCATGGCTCAAACGTAGGGGAAATTTATATGTTTTATAAACAATTGTTCAGTAGCTTTTCTCTGTTTTTAATAATAAAGAATATAACCCTTTTTCTTGTTGGCTGGGTGATAAAGCAACCTTATAGTATATATTTATTTGAATGTCTATGCTGCCAACCCAGTGCACACCTGCTAGGAAGGAAGGAAGCACCACTGAATTAAATGTGGGGATGGTAAACACACTTAGGATCTCACTGTAAATACGCTGGAATTTAGCCAGCATGTCTATCCAGGGAAATGTGCTGGCCTGCTAATCCTTGAATTCTCAAACTTTTCTGCCAGAATAGCCTCCCCCGCACCTAGATAATTTTAAGAGAGGCAAGAGATTATTACATTTTCTTCCCTTTCTTAAAAAAAAAACGGGTGGGGGTACAAAACGAAACCTCCTTGAATGGGCTCCTTTTCGAAATAATGAAGCCAGTTATTGGGAGCTGTTTGGAATGCTGGCGAATGGAATGCAGGTGGCGAGATCAAAGGTGTATGAAAAACACAATTTATCACCCGAATTTCACTCCCACATCTGTGAGATTCTCAGATAGTATCAATCCCAGATCAAGGGCTTGTGCGTACGGTGCAGGAGGCTGCAAGTGAAGGTAGGGTGCTCTGTTCTTGGGTATGGGATGGATTGTGCTTGCCAAAGTCTGTCTTCCCAAAGTGATGGTCATTGCATGCACCGTACACTGGATCAGGGCTGCAGTATTTCATCCCTTGGATTTTGAACCCAAGACGCTATGGTTGACTCTTCTAAGAAACTGCAGGCAACGCTGACATGACATTAGAGGACATTAGACATTAGGCTTCTCTGTTTTTCATTTTTTCAATCTTAAATTCAGTTCTCCACATTTCCACATCGGTGTGTGAATTAAAAAAAAAGTCCTCATGAAAATTCATTAGCATTTTGTTATGAATTTCTCCTGGTGCACACGTCTCTATGCAATTTTACCTAATGCACACATTTTTTTTTGCAAAGTGGTTTCTCAACATAGAATGAATTTTTGTATGTTATTTCTCCAAATCTGATTTTTTTTAAAAAAACCCCACACACCTTGCCCCTTTAATACAATACTTAGCTGGAGAACTGTGTTGCAAAATTCAGAGCAGTGCAAAGCTTGAAGGCTGCCTGCATTTTGGGTTTTGTATCATTTCAGAAAGTGCAAATTAGGTTTGCAAACTGAATTGAATCCTCCCCCCTCATCCCCATGTGGAATTAGATTCACTTGAAGGCCAAGCAGGAGGGACTTTACTAACACCTACCTCCAGGGTCTAGCTAGCGGCTATCCTGTATCTATTGGCAAAATGAACTTCCTTGAGTATTGATGCTTGAAAAACTGTGTCCCAGCTGCCAGATATGCAAAACTCTAAACCTTGCTTACTGCTTTGTGACATAGGTCTCATAAAGGCCACAATCCTAACCCCATTTATTTGAGAGTAAGCCCCATTGAATTCAGTATAACTTACTTCTGAGTAGGCATGGTTTGGATTGCAAATGTACAAATGAACATTTAATGTACAAATAATGGATCAGCTTGTCATTTTTCACATATCGGTTAAGACTTACATTAAAAAAATATATCCTCCAAGATCCAAAATTCTTCTAAGATCCAAACAACTATTCATTGCTTAGAGGCTTTAACAGCTGAGGTTTTTTTCTTATATAAAAAAGCAGCAGCAACAGCAGCAAAAAGCTCATCTGATCTCATTTATATTTACTTGGAAGTACCTTTGCTCAATTATGCTTTTTTCTTTTTAAAAAACTACTTACGTTGAAGTATATATATAATTATCAAAAGAACCGTTATTGAATTGCCTCTATTGAGCAAATAAACAGACTGTGAGAATATTCAGTCTATAAACCATATTAACAGTTACAGCCAGTGCAAATCCTCCTCAGAATAGACCCATTGGAATGAATGGACATGGCTAACTTAGGTTCATTACTTTCAGTGGGTCTAAATATAAATTAAGTTGGATATAACCTGAAGCCTTTCTTTTTTGTAACTGAAGCATAAGAACATATGAAGAGCCTGGCTGCTGGATGAGGCCAGTGGCCCACCTGGTCCAGCATCCTGTTCTCACAGTGGCCAACCAGATGCCTGTGGGAAACACACAAGCAAGAGCCGAGTTCAAGAGCACTCTCCCTATCTGAATAGCTCAGGCAGTAGAGCATGAGGCTCTTAATCTCATGGGTTCAAGCCCCATGTTGGGCAGAGGATTCCTGCATTGCAGCGGGGTAGGACTAGATGATCCTTGTGGGTCCCTTCCAACTACTATTCTATGATTCTATTACCATGGCTTCCAGCAGCTGGTATTCAGAAGCACTCCTGTCTCTGACCTTGGAGACACGAGGAGAAATGAACAGGCTTTTAGACATTTAGTCACTCTGCCCGTGTCACTAATATTTTTGACTAGGGGCCTATAAACCAGTTAAGCCAGCTTCTTTGGAATTTTCACTGTTTACTATCCTTGCCAATTCTAAGTGCCGCCATTTTAAACCTTATACTTCCAGTCAAGGATATTTCAGATCCTAGTGTTTCTTTGCTCTGCCAAAACATGGTTTATGGGTTGGGCTCATGGTCCGAGAGAGGCTTTTTTTGTTCATGGGAACCTGCTGAGCAAGAGAAGTGGGAGCAAACATGGAGAAGAGAAGCTTAAGAGGGGATATGTTTGCCATCTTCAAATGTCTGAAGGGTCTGTTGCCCCCAAAATGGAGCAGGCTGTTTTGAGGGTGGGTCAACAACCAGTGGGGGGGGGGGGGCAACCCGAAATTAGGGCAAATGTATCATTTTCAGTTTTTCTCCTTTTCTCATTCCCTACCATGTCTTAAATTTAGTTCTCCATATTTTCTCACTAGTCTGCAATTCCTTTTTTTTTTTTTAAAGGCCTTTGTGAAAACTAATCTGCATCTTTGTGCAAAATTCTCCTGTTATATACATGTTCACGTGAAATTCACCTAACAATTTTTTGTGTGGCAAAATCCCCTTATATCCCCTAAAATGATGCACTTTCTTGCATGATATTTTCATGAACATTATGCAATTTTTTTGCACACTTTTTACCCCGGTAGATGCATTCTTTTACACAGAGAAAAACACCTTGCAAAATTTGGAGACGGCAGGTTTTGAAGGATGACTGTGTTTCAGTTCATGTGTTGTTTTAAAAAAGCACTGCTTGTGCAATTTTGCCTTTAAATGCAATTTCTCTCTCCCCCCCCCCCCGCTTCCCTACTTGCAAAGAAGCGGATTTTGCTTAAACATTCAGAGAATCTTCCTAATGAAGATAATAATAATAAAATAAAATAGAAAGCTGTTTGACAGTGGTGTAGCCTAGAGAAAGGGTGTGTGGCCTGGGGAGACTTCTGGGAGCTAGTTAGGACTGCATTAAGCCATGGGCCTGAGGTTCTCCAGCTCTGATGTAATGGGTATATGTGCCTATCATTGAGGCCATTTTAGACACTGCTGTTAAATGGTCTTAAAGGAAGGAGCTCTTTAGATGGCACCGTATAGTCCTTTGCTGACTCCAATATTTTGTAAAGCTAACCTGCTTTGTGTGCCCTCTTGCTTATTCAACTGAGTGGGGCCAAAGTGTGTGTGTGTGTGTGTGTGTGTGTGTGTGTAATCTGAAATAGGAACTCCCCAAATAGCAAATTAGGTTTGTTTCTTTTGTGTTTTTCTGGAATCCTGGAGAACAGGGGCAGTCCCTGCTTAAGTATTAATGTATTTTTAATCTTTGTTGGAAGCTGCCCAGGGTGGCTGGGGAGGCCCAGCCAGATGGGCGGGGTACAAATAATAAATTATTATTATTATTATTATTATTATTATTATTATTATTATTATTATTATAGTGGGATGGTTGGTTGGAGTGCCTGCATCAGAGGTCCCAAGCACTGAAAATATTATGGTGCCCCCCCAAATAATTCAAAATAAAGACAATACTAAACTGTAAAATAAAGTTTTAAAGTAAAGCATAACACAGATTTGTTGCAACACCTGACAGGACCCGATTTCCTTGCATTATTTTGAATTATGTTAATCGGGCACACACACACACCTCATTTAGGAGGGGGATAAAGAATAAAAAAGAGAACAGGAAAATGGGAGAAGAGTGGAGTGTAAGAAAGTCTAACAAAGTCCTGATTTTTCTCATGGTAACTACTTGGATGCTTTTTCGTTTTAATATCAAATTTCAAATTCTTTCCAAAAAGAAAAGTTCCTAATCCCCCCGCCCCCAATGCCACTGCTTTGCTGGTGTTCTTAAGAACATGCTTCATCAGCTCTGTAATCCAGCGTGGTCTGGATCCCTGTCGGTGACCAAGAATGCCACCCTAATCCCATTTACGCAGGAGTAAACCCTACTGAATTCAACAGGACTTACTTCTCGGAGCCTAAAGCACCCAATTCCTTAACATTAGTTTAACATTAGGCCGTTCCTTCCTCTCTGCTCCATCAAGCCCTTTTCTGTTTCTCTTGGAGCGATTGAAATGTTCTGGGTTACATAAACATTGCAGCTCTCTTTCTCTCTCCCCCCCCCCCCCCCGTCTCTCTCTTCTGTTTGGTAACGGTATGTCGTTTTGTAACTCCCAACTTGGAGAATCTTAAAAGAGAGTTTGCATTAAACCGAGGCGTTACCTTTTATGTTCAGCAATGCCTGGGTCTCACAAGACAGGCAGAAATCAAGGTAGCAGCAGAGTTCCTCTAGCAAGGAAGACCCCTTCTAAAAACCTATTCCTGTTTAAGGTGCAAAAGGGATCGGGCTCCAAATCCTAGAGAATGAGAACAAGGCGCCTTGTTGGCGTTTAGCACCGGGATCACCCAATTTAGCTGTTGCCGTATGAAAAATTGCCATATTTCTTGGGGAAATAATGTTTATACATTTTTAAATTTATTTATTTTTTTGCCTGGGCTGTTGGGTGAGTAATGTTGCATCCAAGCAAGTTCTACTATGTTTATGTCCATTGTTTCATATGGGTCTACTCTTGAGCTGAAATAGCATTGGACACAACCCACTGTGTCTGGGTTGCTTTGTGCAATTCTTTTCTTATTTGTAAATAACACACATAACAACATCTCATGCATTCTCACATGCAAACAGTGATAGCCTTGTCCTCTATGAGTTTATCTAATCTCCTTTTAAAGGAAACTAGGTTGGTGAGCATCATTACCTCCTGTGGGAGCGAGTGCCGTAGTTTAACCATGTGCTGAATACCACCCCCCCCCCGATTCTCTAACTGTGTGGTTTTCATCACAGCTGCTCAGTTTCTGGGGACTTCTTCTCTGCAGCCTGGACGTACCTGCCACCCTATTCAGTTTATGGAACTTCCATTATTTCAAATAGGGAGAAAGGACTGAAATCACACTTTCATCTGTTGCTGTTGCAGTAATGGAGGAAAGAGATGGTGAGGAGAGAATCGTGTGTGTTTTCAGGAAGCTTTTTGCAGGATGTTAAGTGGGTCTTGCTTGCTGCGGAATCAGTCTGCTGGTGACCATGTTTCTTGCCCGTGTATGATGGGTGTCATTTGAGGCCAAAAATAACACACATCTGCTCCTTGGAGGCCTATAGAATTCTTTCCCTCTTTGCTTTAAATGTTTATTTGTTAACATTAGACCTTTTAAAAGCCTAGCCTTGACCTGAAGTCTCCAGAAGAACCCACCTTTCTCTCTCTCCTACCCCCCAACCTCCGTCACCCCCCGCCAACAGATAAAAGTCTGACCATGTTTGTGAAATTTCCCTAGTAAGGTGTAATTGACAGGGCAATGAAGGCGCAGCTGTTTGTCTTGAACAGCATGGGATGTAGCGGTTTATAAGGACTTTGTGCTTGGCGTTGACTTCCTTAATATATTTCAGTCTGGAACTGACAGCACTTCCTAATGGGTCTTGCTTAAGTTTCCTTAGTCAAAATAATACTTTTAATTTACTTTGCCTTTAGGTTCTCTCCTTCCAGTCACCCAATTTGAAAGCAGCTCCATTCTTAACCAAAAAACAAAACAAAAAGCATTAAACCTCAAAAAACATTAAATGTATTAAACTCCAAAGTGTGTGTGTGTGTGTGTGTGTGTGTGTATGCATGCATGCATGCAAGCCTTAATACTTCTTCAAGCAAAGATTAGTTATGGGGCATCTCATCCATAGCAACCTTGCAATTCAGCCTTCTCTGTAAGAATTAGTTTAGATGCAGATCATCAATCATACCTTTACGTATAAGTCTCTGTGAGTTACTTTGGGGATTTTCCCTGTTTTACATTTCTTTATTGCTTCCTGGATTTGCTCTGTCCTGTTCCCCTGATTCCTGAATCATAGAATCATAGAGTTGGAAGAGACCACAAGGGCCATCGAGTCCAACCCCCTGCCAAGCAGGAAACACCATCAGAGCACTCCTGACATATGGTTGTCAAGCCTCTGCTTAAAGACCTTCAAAGAAGGAGACTCCACCACACTCCTTGGCAGCAAATTCCACTGTCGAACAGCTCTTACTGTCAGGAAGTTCTTCCTAATGTTTAGGTGGAATCTTCTTTCTTGTAGTTTGGATCCATTGCTCCGTGTCCGCTTCTCTGGAGCAGCAGAAAACAACCTTTCTCCCTCCTCTATGTGACATCCTTTTATATATTTGAACATGGCTATCATATCACCCCTTAACCTCCTCTTCTCCAGGCTAAACATGCCCAGCTCCCTTAGCCGTTCCTCATAAGGCATCGTTTCCAGGCCTTTGACCATTTTGGTTGCCCTCCTTTGGACACGTTCCAGTTTGTCAGTGTCCTTCTTTGAGTAGAACTTCTAAATTCAATTCTGGAACTTCCATAGTTCATTCTAGCTTTTCGTTTCCTTAGACCAGGGGGTAGGAAATCTCCCTGCCCCATCCCAGAGGCTTTATTTCCTTACGGGCGTCCTTCCAGGGACTGCATGCCAGTGATGGGTGGGGCCAGAAGAGAAAGTGGGTGGGGCTACATGAATGAAACTTTATTTGCATCAGCCATCGGCCATAGCAACAAAAGAACATTGCGGTATACACAGAACAAAATAAAAAGTCAGTTATATAAAACACAGTTTAGAGTCCTGAATCAGCAGTCAAATAGTGGACCTTATTCTCATTGCCCCAGCTAGAAACCTTGCGACCTTTGCTGTCATCTGCTCCTCTCGATCTGCCAGGAAAAAAGACAGTGTGGCAGTTGTTGGGCAGCCCAGAATAGACAATAAAAGAGGGGTGATAATGTCATTCCTCAGGTCTTTGTAAAGAGTGCAAGCCAGGAGGGCATGTGCCACTGATTCGGTGTTGCCATCTCTGCAGGGAGGGTGGGGCTACATGCAAAACTTAGGAGGGTAATCTACTCTTAGCTTCATACAGCAAGCTACAGTCCAGCCACACAAAAGTCAAAGGTTTTTCCGATACACACATTTTCCTATCCATTTCCCCCAGGTGCCAACTCTGTTGTCTTTTAGGCACCTTTCCCAAAATGCCTACTAGAATACTGTCTACGTAGAAGGAAGCCCTACTGAAATCAATGGGACTTTCAGATAAGTACATTGAGTAGTATGGTATTACTTTATAGAGGGGTGCTTTTGGGGGGCAGGGGGAGGGCGGGAGGCTCAAGTTTGAAGGAGGTAAATTCTAATGTGCAGCAGAACACACTTTAGAAATAACCCCCTGGCCTCTCCAACTTGGATGGTTTTAAAAGAGGATTAGACAAATCCATGGATGATAAGTCTACTGATGACTACTAACCATGGTAGCTTTGCTCCACCTCCACACCTGGAGGTAGTAATGCTTCTGAATACCAGGAGAACCACAGGGAGAATGCTCTTGTCTTCAGATCCTGCTTGTGGGTTTCCTGCAGTCATCTGGATGGCCACTGTGACAACAGGATGCTGGACTAGATGGGCCATTGGCCTGATCCAACGGGGCTCTTCTTATATTTACAATTTTTTATATATGCTGTAAGCCACCCAGAGTGGCTGGGGAAACTCAGCCAGATGGGCGGGGTATAAATAATAAAATTATCATCATCTTCATCTTCATAATCAAGTTCTTAAAAAAGGGAGGTTGTAACTCAGAGTGGACCTGTGAAATGGATGGATATGGCTATCTTAGGGTCATTAATTTGAGTGAGTCTACACTGAGTAGAATTTAGTTGGATGCAACCTGTTCAACAAGGACATTAGGAGTGCGGGGGGGGGGGACTGAAGTCACCCTCCATCCATGAGAGGCCATCCCAGGGTAAGAGCACAAAGCCCAAAATGTCCCCTGTCCGCCCAACGACGAAGGGGTGGAGGTGATCCTGTCATCCCAAGCCTTCAAAACAGACTTCCTATTCTGTGCCTTAACATGAATAAGGGGATTAGGATTGGCAAATTTCCGTTAGCTCACTCTACCGGACAAAAGATCCCAAGGTTTTAGTGTCACACTGCCTGATAAAAGTACAGGAGCTTGTCAATCAAAGGGGTCTGAGGCACTTGTGTCCGTGACATAATCTTATTAGAAGATAAACCGGCAAAATCCCTTTCATGAGGAAAAGTTACATTTAATTGCGCCTACAGATTTTCCTCCTTCCTACCCCCTCTATTCCGCCCCCCCCCCGGGTGGGTGTGTTTGCACAGTTTGCAAATGATCAAGATCGTCACTGCCAAACTTTTTGAATGGCTAGTGAAAAGTTTTCTGATAACCAGGGAACTGTTGTTCATCATTGTCAGCCTCGAAACACGGATGATGGGTCAATGAAATCTGGAGCATCTGTCTATAGGAAGTTGAGATTTTGATGGAAATGCTGGTGTGTATCTGCTCATACAGATGTTGAACAAGAGCTGTGTTTGGAGTTTTTCAGTTCTTCAGAAGGTCCATCAGATCCAGCATCTAGCTCCCTGTAGTAACTAACAGGCTGTGGCCAAGAAACTGAAATGTAGGGAGCTGCTTTATGCTGAGTCAGACCATTGGTCCATGTAGCTGAGGGTTTTCTACTCTGACTGGCAGTGGCTTTCCAGGGTTTTAGACAGGGGGCAGTCCCAGCCCTACCTACGGATGCCTACCTGCATTGAACCTGAGACCTTTTTCCTACAAAGCAGATGCTCCACCACTTAGCTATGGTCTCTTGTTATACTGTGATAGACCATTGAGACTTCTGGCTCAGAACTGTCTGCACTGACTAGTAGCAGTTCTCCAAGGTTTCAGGCAGGGGTGTCTCTGAGCCCTACCTGGAGAAGCTGGGGTTTGAACCTCAGACCTTCTGCATGTAAAGCAGATGCTTTACCACTGAGCAAAGAAATACTTTACCTGAAGGAATCATCTAAAACTAAAGTAAGATTACGGTCTTCGTGGTTCTGGAGAAAGCTTACCTGGAGATTGAACCTGGGGCTTTCAGCATGCAAAATGGGTGCACTTTCATTGGGTTATGGATGCTCTCTGAATCCTTGAAATAACATTCTCACCACACTGCCTATAAACTTCTCTCTGCTCTTTGTGTATGTGAGTGTCTAACCTGAAAGCTTCAAAAAATGCACCAACCTTTTTCCTATGGGAAGATGCTCCTGCATAGGAATGGACAAATCTGTCAATTTTTATTTCTCTTTAATTTCCCATTTTTCCAATCTTAGATTCAATTGGCCACATTGTCGGCGACAATTTGCTGTTGTTTAAAAAATCATGAAAACCCATCAGACATTTAGTATAGATTTCTCCTAAAAAAACACATTTTGTCTGTTGTTTTGAGTAACATGTACATTTTTGCAAACAAACGCCCCTAATAAAAAGCAAATCCACACAGTATCTTCACTAATAAATGTGTTTGCCTGCACATTTTCCCCTGAATGTAAAAAAATGTACATTTTTGCTCACATTGTTTGGTCAGAGAACTGCATCATGAAATTCAGGGAAGCACAGCTTTCAAAGGATTGGCTGGCTTTCGTTTTTTCAGGTTGGTTTGAGATTTGCGAATTGTGTAGTTTCTTATTAAAATGCCCTTCCCTTTTTCTTGATATCCATTCCACATGAACAGGCACTGATGCTGCTTCTCAAGATCTTAAGTGCTAGGAGGAGGTTACCCACTATTTTAATAATAATAATAAATCAGTCAACAGTACCCTATCTCTTCCTGGGTCCTGGGAGTCAGCAGTGCACCATGGTGTCTTGTGTAAAAGTTTCACAGCCTTGACTTTTTCTTCAGAATGTTTTTTTTTCTTTTGTGGTTATCCCTAAGGTAACCCATTTTTACTGGTCCCCACCTTCTCCCACACACCCCACCCCTTCAGTGCCTCCTTTGCCCTGTCAACTGTCTGGAAGTCTGTTAGACCAAATGGTAACATAGGGCCTGCTGGTCTTATTACTTTAACTGGGCTTGCAAATTCTTCCTTCACCCCTTTCATTGTTTTCTCCTGAGCTAAAACTAATACGTGTACAGTGGGGGCTGGAAACTAACTCCCTTCCTTTCCTTCCCTTCCTGGCAGTCCCTATTTTTGCCTCTGAATTCCCAGCTGCCGGGAATCACAAGCTGGAAGAGTGCTGTTCTGCGCACGTCTTGCTTGCGGGTTTCCCTTTGGTGCAAATGGCCAGCCACTGTGGGAGCAGAATGCTGGACTAGATGGGCCCCTGGCAGACCCTCCAAGTGTCCCTATTTCCCACAGACTGTCCCTGATTTAGAGAAGCCACCCCAGTTTCTGATTTGATCCCGGAATGTCCCGCTCTTCCTTAGGACATCCCTATTTTCATTGGAGAAATGTTGGAGGGTATGGAGCTATCTGACTCCTGAGCGGTCTGAAGGGAAGTTAAAAAAAAGAAAAGTTTAATGTTTAATTATGTTTTCATATATGTTGGAAGCTGCCCAGAGTGGCTGGGGCAACGCAGTAATATGAGTGGGGTATGAATAGTAAAACTACCATTATGGAATGGGACGTCCCTATTTTCATCAGAGAAATGTTGGAGGGTATGGCAGAAGTTTGATCCAGCAGGGCTCTTCTGACATTCTTAAGATGACTGAATGGGCCCCGATACCTATTCTGTATAGTATCCATTATTCTACTAAGAGTAGTCCCACTGAGATTCACATATCTTCACTGTTAATGATTAATGACCAGTGTTAAGGAAACACCACCAAAGGCCCCTGAAACACATTATCTAAATGTTCAGAACAGGGTAATCAATCAATCAATCAATAAAAATAGCATTGTGTGAAATAAAATGAGAATAAACTTTTTAAAAGAGGAAAATAACATGTCCGGGTTCTGGCAAGTTTTGCTTGCTGCAGGGCAGGACTTTGCCCCACTTAAGAGTGATGGATATATTTTGATTTGGGAGGAGTAGAGGACATAAAATGCATCTTATCATCTTGACAGATTTGATAAGGAAAGCTTGATAAAGGTTCTACGGGGGGGGGGGGGATAGTAATATAGGAATACATGGGTCACCAACTCAACCTCTCCAGAGTTACAGAGGTACTTGCATTCACGGTAGGTTTTTTTGTTTCGTTTTTAAAATGTCTTCACTCCAGAGCTCCTGAGACTCATTGAGTTTAATGGACACGGCTACCTTAAATTTGTTAATTTCAGCGGGTCTACTTTGTGCAGAATATAGGTGCAAGCCTCTTTTGGGGCAAGAGTAAAGTAAAAAAGAAGTGCAGCTATGGAATTCTAGTGGAAGCTAACCTGCTGGGTTCCCTCCCCCTGCTTCACTGAAGGAGAATTCCCTGCCCTTGAAGAGGGAGAAATGAGCTAGAGGAATACTTTAGAGATCAAATTTCAGAGCCTCCCAGACTCTTCCCTGCACCCCCCACCCAAAGTTGAAATGATTTGTGTTCAGGGGTCTGTGACCCACAGAGACATCAAACAGCCAGCCAGCGAAGCACTCAGAGTTCACAGGGACAGTAGATGGAGATGACCAAGCAAAAGACAATGCAGATGGTTCTAATCAGGAAGAGCCTGTGAAGAGGGACACGAGAAGGACCCTTCGGATGGCCCTGTTGATTTTGGAGTCCCAGCTAGGTGCAGTTATCTCGGGAACAATTTGGAATGAGAGAATTCGATGTGGTGTAGGCTTGGTGGGTGCAGAATAGCGTAAAGGGGGATTTCTTACAACAGCATGATGCCGTGTGCAGTGCTCCTTTTCAGGATACTCCATTGCCTCCCACCTGCCTCGCAGGGTTGTTGTTGGCAGGATTGCAATGAGATAATCTGCATGAAGCCAGCTGAGCACTTGGAAATGTTAGGTAAAGGTAAAGGGACCCCTGACCATTAGGTTCAGTCGTGATCGACTCTGGGGTTGCGCCGCTCATCTCGCTTTATTGGCCGAGGGAGCCGGCGTACAGCTTCTGGGTCATGTGGCCAGCATGACTAAGCCGCTTCTGGCGAACCAGAGCAGCACATGGAAACACCGTTTACCTTCCCGCCGGAGCGATACCTATTTATCTACTTGCACTTTGACGTGCTTTCGAACTGCTAGGTTGGCAGGAGCAGGGACTGAGCGATGGAAGGTCATCGTGGGGATTCGAACTGCCGACCTTCTGATCGGCAAGTCCTAGGCTTTGTGACTTAACCCACAGCGCCACCTGCGTCCCCTACTATTTTATGAAGGCAGCAGATGAATGGATTAACTGACTGCCACACTTTTAGGCAGGTGGCTGAATGGGGGTAGAGTATGGCTGGGTTGAAATTTGAATAGATGGTGTGGCTGTCTTGTCATTTTTATACACAAGGTGTGAAGTGGTGGCTGCTGCCAATTGGAACTGGTGGGGTGGAAGGCAGGGAGCCCAACAGTAGGCAGGCCCAGAGCCAGTCCTCGTACTCTTACTGCCTGCTGAGTTCTCGAAGGGCAATCTTGAGACCAAGGAGGAGGAGGAAGGTGATAATCAGAGATACTTCCTGGGCTGGCTGCAAGTAAGACGGCAGGAGCTGTTTGAGGTCAGTGGGACAGGTGCTCCATTTGCTTGAATGGACCAGCTGCTCCTGAAAGCATGGACTCTTATTACAAAGCAATCCAGCCTCATCTCTCTTGAGTGTGTACTTATAGAGACTTTAAAAATGGTTGAAGGCATTGATGTACATTGCAAAATAAAAGAGCTTACAGTCTTCCAGTGATGGTGGCGATTGTGGGTTGTTTCGATGCTTGAAAAAAGTTTCCCCATTCCCAAAGAAAAAAAATAAAAATAAATTCTCAAAGCCAAGTCCTGCAGTCCCAACAGGCTCAAAATTCCATCTGTTTAGATTTGAGCATGCCTAGCTTTTAAAAACGCTGCTAGCCAATGCAATTTCATCTCCACACACAACCTGCCAGCCACACGCACGCGCGCACACACACACACACACATACGCAAATACTATTTCTCTGGTGATCAGCTGATTCTGTTTGGTCATCTTAAAAAAAAAAGTCTCACATCTGCCTACCATATGCTTCCTGATGCTTGACTTACATGTGTGTTTTAGGGATGTGTTACCTTAATCATATTTATTGACCAATCTGGGAAGGGAGTGACATGGAGAATGGTTGCAGATTTGTAAGGCCTGGAGCACACTTTGATGGGGACCCTCTGAATGGTGAAGGGGCGTACTCTGCCATCCTGATTTCTCTCAGGTGTGACATGGGGGCTCTGCATGGATGCTATCTGTGAGATCTTTCGTTTATCCATCCATTCATTTATTCATTTCCTCCTCCCATCATTATCCAAGGAGGAGGGGCTGCAAAGAGCCCTTAAACTGCTTGGATACTCTCTGGTTGGTGGAGAGGAGGGGCACACCTATCTCCCATTTTTTTTGTTTATTTTTAGTTACTTCACTTACATTCCACCCTTTCTCAAAGGAGCTCATTGTGGTGCACACGGTTCTCTCCCCCCCCCATTTAATCCCTACAACAACCCTGTGATGTAGGTTAGACTGAAAGGCAGTGATAGGCCCAAGGTCACCCTGAGTGAGCTCCATGACTGAGTGGGGATTTGAACCCTGGTCTCCCTGGTCCCAGTCCGATACTCTTAACCACTACACCACATTGACGCTCCTTTGCCCCAGTGGATAACTAAACTGAGCAGTCATGATAACAAAACGTTGGTCTAGGTTCATCCCCCACCCCGGATTGCATCCCAACTGAATGAGCTGTCATGCTGTGCAACACAGAGGAGAGGTCAGTGCAAAATTCTTCATCCATTTTTATGTTCGCTTGTTGCCTGTCACAAAAAATAACAATACAGCATGTCATTAGTTGCTCTGCAGTAATAACCCTCTTGGAATGTTTGTTTTAAATTGGTTTGTGTGACCAGACGGCAAAATCCTACAAAAGCCAGTTTTAACTGCTTTT